GAGAGAGAGAGAGAGAGAAACCATTCACTGCTTTTGGACTTTTTGATTCTTCTGATGACAAAAAAAGGTTTTTAGCTTTAAGCCTGTGCATGTGGATGTCATTTGGGTAACCTACTTGGAATGTACAGGTGCTCTATTTTAATGGGGTAAAGGGAAATCACTACTTCCTCTTAATCCTCTTCTCATTTCTTTTTCTAATCAAGATTTAATTTTAGATGATTCATAATGATATAGGCCAAGAATGTGCATGGGGTATTTTGGGAGGGAAATTAGGTGAGCTGAAAGTTGCTGATTTTCAGTGTAACTGTTACATTTTTAGCACTGAGGGATTATAGATGATTTTGGCACTCCAGCCTACATTCCTGAAATACAGACAAAAATGTAGTCGAGTTTTAAAAACTTAACAATTTTATGATTTTTTTCCCCCTTGTGTCTTCATCTGGTATTTTATGTACTCCCTGAAATAATCTGTCTGAAGTTGTTTAATTTTTTTTAAAGGCAGCATAAGACACACAAGTAAAGTTAGATTTTCACTGCCAAAATCTAAAGACTTCATACATAGTTGTTTGATACTTTCATTCATGCAATTCTAGTGCAAGAAAGAAACAACTATCCTCATAGATATAAATTTAGCCAGAGGGTATGAATATCAGTTTTAGCTACTTCAAGCTTGTCTTTGCTATCTTGCCATTTGATATTGTTAGGTGCCTCTTTTACCCTCCAATTGTAATAAAAACATCCAGTTCAAATAGAGTCAGACTGTTTTGCTTAGCATTTGCATTAATATCTTCAAGCATTTTTGCCAAAATCGCAGTTATTCAATTTGGAGATAATTATTCATTTAGTACGATGGAACTGGTTGGGGAAAACATTATTTCCCATAGTTTCCACATTGTTGAATCTTGCCAAATGTCTTGGTGGGTTTTTGAAATGGTAAAAAAAACAAAAAAGAAAAACAAAGTAAATGAGAGTTATTTGGTAAATTGAGGGAAGTCATAGATAAACTGGGTTAATTTATAAGCCAACAATCACCAACTTGCAAGAGGACTTGTTCCAGAAGAATAAATTGCAAGTCCTGGTATGCCAGGATTGCACACAGAAATTATGTTTGTGTAATTTCATTGTAAACATCCCAAAATATAATAGTAGATAATAGTGTAATAGATAATATGCCTACCCAAGATGTAGACATAACAGAAACCTCTGAACCAAGTTGTACTATTTACAGGAAATGTTTTCCCCATACTGGACTAATTAATTTTACATCCTTTAGCTGAAATACATCAACATATTTTTTGCCATATAATTCACTTTTTAGCTAAATGCTAAATATATTTCCCGATATGTTATACAGTTCAAAAATCATCTAACATTTTTATTTCATTGTTTTTATTGCATTGTAGAATAAAACATGTCCAGCTACAAGTTCTACAGATGAGACTCAAATACATTATTTTTCTAGACTGAGACAGCAAAAATGTTCTACTGAGCAGATTTTAGATCCCCCAATTTGTAACCAATTGAAAATAATCCTCACTGGGGGACTCAATGTACATGTTAGCTGTAAATTGAAACTTGACTAATATATTAAAGATATAATTCACATATTGAGAATGACTTTAAGCACTGGAAGACCTGGCCTAATGTTTTTATTCTCCTGTTTGTTCCCCATTGCTGGATTTTTATAACTTTTTGCTTCATAAAAAGTTCCACTCCTAGTAAAGTTATTATCCTCTTACAGATATTGGATTCAGTATGAAAAATATAATTCCCATGACACCCAGCTCCTTGAATGCACATGCGCTAATGGGACATGAACATTCTCTTGGAATAGCAACCTCCGCAGTATGAGTTGGACGCTCTTATCTGTCTCATAGTCCATCTGTTTCTAGCACATAGAATAAAATAACATTAAATAAAGTAAGGAGTATCAGGGAGTAATTAATCATTGCAAAGTTAAGATCTTCAAGCTCTGTTATTCAGTGCTAATACATAGATTCCATTAAGTGTTTGAATGAGGTATATTGCAGAGATATAAAATAATAGTAAAATATCTACCTCACATACCCAGGTAAATAAGCCAGTCCAATGAAACTGCTTCCCAAAGCACTGGAATTTCTAAATATGTACTAATTCTTGGAAGTCATATTATTACTATTATGAGATTTTTAAAAAACATTTCCAATGGTGTGATAGGGTTCAGACTGATCCTAATTTGGGACTTCATAATTATTAATTTCTAAATCAATTTAAATTATGAATTTGACTTATGTGTTAGGATTCCAACTATGTAAGAAATTCAACGTTCAGATATTTGAATTCTTATGCTTAAAACTTTAAAAAGTGCATTTTGAAACTATGAAGTTCAAAATGAATGCTAAAATGTGAGTGTCTTAATAAGTATGTAATTGCTATTTATAATAAAATTAATGCATTAGAAATTCCATGTATGCAAGGAAAAATGATCCGCTGAGGTACTGTTGTTTCAGATTTTTATAATATGACATAAGCTAAATTTAGACATCATTTAACTCAGATTACTTCAGACTTATGCCTGTTTTAAAGGTCAAACCTTTAATTCTAACAAACGTCTGGGGGGTGGGGGGTGGGGAAATACAGCACTAAGATCATCAGACCAGTAAGCTGCTGGGATCAGCATTGTTGCATGGATATTTATTGCTAATCTTGTAATCATTACATAATGAGGATTTGTTGCCTGGGCAGCGGGCTTTAGTACGGCTCATCTTCCATCATTGGATGATATTTATAAATATCCTGTTTTACTGGAATTGAAACTGGCAAGATAAGGTTTCCTAATATAAGATGCTGATGTGATTGTTTTGGCACAACTCTGTTATTACAAAGACTGCACATGTATTTATTTTCTGACTGTCAGTGGGATTGAGTCAGATAGAATCCAAGTATCCTGGCTTAAGCTGCTTGTGTACATCAGGCTGAATACATAATATACCAATGCACAGAATTCTTTTGGGAAGATGGTGAAAATAAAAAGCAAGTATCCTTTCACATGTGGCAGTTGGTCATATGAATGGTTTGAAAAGCAGCTAACATCACAACTCAAGATTTCTGACAGTGAATTTGGACAACCATATTGGGTCTTTTTCATGTTACTTCAGTGATCTAGAATTTTTGCTTCCATGAGTCATGATATTGCTTTGCTGCCTTATAGGCACCTCCCACCCAAACAACATTCAGCTGAGCATGTTGTTTCCAGGCTGCAAAGTACAACTGGCTAAGGAAAGCTTTGGTGTTATACTAACACAATTTTCAGTTCTAAATAAAAACATCAGGGCAAATGTTTGAACTCCCATTATTTAAATAATAGTTGAATGCTTAAACGTCTACCCTAGAAATCAAGAAATCGTTTAATTTCAATCTTCAGTCTCATTCTTTTCTACAGTCCATCCTAATACTAAGGCCCAAATTGTTACATGTGAAAGTATGAAATCCAGAAATATAGATCAATTATAATATTTGGCTTCCTGTAATGCTAAGACATCTGGAATGTGGTGCATCAGAGCAGAATCCGTATTTTTTCACATAATGAGGATGGAATATTGTCCATAATCTCAAGACATAAAAAATAGGTAACTCTAAAATAATTCATATGGATAATTTCTGGAATTCTTCAACACCTTTCCTATCAGATAGGAATCATGTGTATCCATTGGCGTAGCTGTCAGGGGATGGGAAAGTAGTCAAGGATCACTGTATAATAACTCTCACAATTCTAACGGTGATGGAAGTCCAATATTAGTGAAGTTATTTTTATAGGAAATAAATTTGATTTCTTTTCTTATAGCATTGGAACTATTGCTAATTTTGAAATGACTTTTTGATGTAATTTTCCCCTCTTGGTTGGATACAATGTAGTGTAATGTATAATTGCTATTGTTTATTGATTTTACAGTCATATTTATTAAACAGATCCTGTCTCTAAAGGAAGGTATTGGATTGTCAGTTATTAATTTCTCTCATTAGAGTGTGAGCACACAGAATTTTTTAAAAATATAATCTGAACCTGCATATAATACTGAACAAAATTATAATTGTGTCCTTGATCATCGGGCATGAATCATTTGAAGAGTTACTATAAAAACAATATCCATACCAAGCCATGTGACATATCAAACACATCTGATTATCAAGGGCAACTTTCTCTACATTGTTAGCTTGTTGTGTCATCCAGTTGGATTCAGCTTTAGTGATCACACTGGCAAGTGCTTGTCAACTCAGTCTGTCATCTGTAGCTCTCCAAGAACAGTCCTGCAATCTCTATGACCCACCTTTCTCTTCTACATTCCTTGCCAAACATAGTTCTCCCCCAATCCATCTTCCATTTGCATCACATGCCCCAAAATGTGAAGTTCTGCCTGATGACTATTGTCTCAAAGGAAAAGTCTTTCTTTGGTATAAATTGATTTATTAAATATAAGACTGAATTACTGGTTATTCTCACAGATTACAATACTCTTATTAACTATCCCAAGAACCATAATTTGAAATTGTTCACTTTCCAGAGTCACTTGGACTGAGATGGGCAGCTATAGAAATTGAATAAATAAATAAAATAAATAAATCTCTCTATTACTTAACTTGCCCTTTCTCAGTGTTCAGCTTTACAGCTATTCATTACCAATAAAAGACCATTGCTCTTACCATTTGGGGGGTGGGAAAACATAGAGGACATACAGTATCTCCTCTCAGGATAGTTGTCCCCAATGGAAACCACAGAAGGCAACAGTACACTGTACAACAGTGGCATAGATTTACTGAATCAAAGCTTAGATAAAATTG